CGTTATTTACATCAAACGCCTGAAATCTTTTCGCAATGTAACTCGGCCCTTGTGCAAGGACTTTAACATCCTTTAAGATGTTAGATGTGGCTTCAAGCTTCTTTATCTAACCAAATAAGAGATACAACTATAAATGTGGATATATATACAAGGACAATAATTTAATGTAACCAATGACTTAGTCCTACTACTTACTTGCTCCTTGAACCACTCATGAAATGTATCGAAATGCACATGATCAAGTTGATGTTGAGTCAAACGATGTTGTGATCTCTTGATTTCAGCAATATGTTCCCTATTGATGTAACTCGCATATATTAATTTTGTTATCAATTAAGTAATATACATATATTAAACAATAGATATAACACTTACTTTTTATAATTCTCAACCACTTCTGACTCGCAATTGAAAAGCACATGTTGATGTGCTTGCAATGTTGTTTTCTCATCCAACTCAAATACATCTACTCCGTCGTACGGCTCCCCAACAGTTGGAAAAATACATTCTTCTTTACTAATCTCATGTTCAATCTCATCACTGCATTTTCTTGAACAACAAGACCTTGAATCTCCACCCTTCAAATATCGTGAGCAAAATGCCATATACTCATTTGCTATATGTGCTTCTGCTATCGAACCTTCTGGACATGCACGATTACGTACATATTATTTTAAAGTACCCAAATACGTATAGAATAAAATAATGGTATTATTCTGATATTATAATATTTAACAACTAAATATGTATAATTAAGTTTAAGTGTTATTCTTCATACCTCTCAATTAGGTACATCCAGCGACAATGTACCGACCCCGCATTTTAGCCTCAGTTGCCAAGTGAATTAACAAATGTATCATAACAGTAAAGAATTATGGGAGGAAAAGTTTCTCCATAGTAGACAAAGTTTCTGAAATTTTTTCTTCAAGTAACTTTAGCTCTTCTATTTTTAGTTCTTTGCTACACAGAACACGAAAGAATGTGCATAGTTCAATTAAAATGGAACTCACTCTTTTATCTGCTGATCTCTGCAAGCCAAGGGGAAGAAGTTCTTGCATTATAACATGACAATAATGAGTTTTTAACCCAGATATCTTTCGTTTGTGAATGCAGCGTGAGATATTAGACGCATAGCCATCTGGAAACTTGGCATTTTGTAGTACTTCATAAAACAACTCTTTTTCTTTTTGAGACATTGTGAAAAAAGTAGGAGGAGGATATGCTTTCCCACTAACTCGATATTGAGGCCATAAACTTGGTCTTATTTTCATCTCCTTCAAGACCAATCGAGCATCTAAGTTAACTTTAGACTTTTTACCAAGATCCAATAATGTATAAATTAAGTTATCACACATATTCTTTTCTATTTGCATCACATCAAGATTATGGTGCACCAAGTTAGACTTCCAATAAGGAAGATCGAAAAAAGTACTCCTCTTTCTCCATGTGTTTTTCATCACTCCACTTATCCCTTCACTCGATGGCCGAGAGTAAATTTTATATCTTTAACTTGATTCAGCACTAGTGACCCGGATACTGGACAAGGTGCAGGTCTTGTTTCTTTAGTACCATCAAACGATTTTGCATCATTCCGATATTTGTGTCCTGACTTCAAGAAGCGTCGATGCCCTATGTAACAAAACTTTTTGCCTTGTTTGAGCCTTCTAGATTGAGTGTTTATGTTACAAGAAGGGCATGCAAACCGACCATAAGTGCACCATCCAAAAGGAGTACCATATGCTGAAAAATTATTCATAGTCCACATGAGAGCTGCTCGCATTTGAAATATCTCCTTAGCAGAGACATCATATGTTTCTATCCCATCATCCCATAATTAATTTAACTCTTCTATTAAAGGTTGAAAAAAGACATCATTATTATTGCCAGGAGCTTTTGGTCTAGGAATAAGTAAGGACAAAATGAAGAACTCTTATTTTATGCACATCCACGGTGGAAGATTATATGGCATTAAAATTACTGGCAATGTACTGTGTACAGTTCACATTGTGCCAAATGGATTAAACCCATCAGAAGTTAATCCTAGGCGCACATTGCGAGGATCTCCAGCAAATTTGGGATATTCACTATCAAAAATTTTCCAAGCTTCAGAATCTGCGGGATGTTGTAGAACTCCATCTTTGTTGCGCTCTTCATGATGCCATCGCATTGCTTTAGAAGTTTCTAAAGACATAAACAATCTCTGTAGCCTTGGTTTTAAAGGGGAATACCTTAGGACCTTGGCTGGAATTTTTCTAGCATCATTTTTCCATCTAGAAGCCCCACAAACTTTGCATTTATTGACATTCTTATTACCAAACTCTTTCCCAAAAAGCATGCAATCGTTAGGACAAACATGAATTTTTTCATACTTTAAGCCCAAGCCTTCAACTATCTTTTTGGTCTCATAGAAAGAAGGAGGCAATTTTTCTCCTTCAGGAAGTGCATCTTTCAATAGTCCGAGCAAAGAATTAAAAGATTCATTTGACCATAGCATTTTATACGATACATATGCAGCAAAGAGGACAGTTTTCTAAACCTCTTACATCTAGGATATAGTTCTTCATGAGCCATTTAAATTTATCCACATCTGGATGACATTGATTTCCAGATGGATGAGCAGAATTCTCTTGTACGTTTTGCTCCATGACACCACTTTCACTAATGTCAGTATCCATGAACTGTGTAACACCTCCAAATGCGTCATGTATCATTCCCCGCATATCATCGCCCCTCAGAGTTGACTGGTTGCGGTTATTTTTTCCAGCATTGTTGATCCCGTTAGAGACTCCCCATGACAAAACCAAGTATCATATGACGGTATAATACCATTAATCACAAGATGATCATATGTTGTAGCCCGATTTACTTGATGAATAAGCACACACTCCGTGCAAGGACATGCAATTTTTTCTCCGGGTTATTTTCCAGAAAAGGCATGATTTAAAAAATCCTCTAATCTATCCAAATAATCTGTACTAACTCTATCACAATACATCCTTCTTTTATTTCTAAGATTGTCCATGACGTTCAAGATATTCCTTTCTTTTCTGTAATTACTGCAAGAGCTACATATTTGTTAGTACAAAGGAGAAATTAATCAAAAAGGTAGTTCAAAATAAAAGAACCATCCTATTAGTAGGTAATTCCATAGCTCAAAGATATAATTTTAACAATTGAAACTATCAAACATAAATCTATTAAAACTATCATTTTAACAATTAAACTATTAAACAGTTAAACTATTTTAACAATTGGTTCATAAATCTTTTAAGAATAGAATTATTAAAGTTATATTTTATAGAAGAACCATATATCATATATTTTAAAATTTTCAAAACTTACTACTCATATTTGTTGAATATCCAGATATATACTCCATTTTTACCAATTTATTTTTAACTCTTTTGTTTATTGAGCGCCAGTTTAACTAGTTATAAAGCTAAATGGAATATAAGTTAGTTTATATATTAAAAGTATACAATTATAAATTAAAAAATCCAATATAATTGCGATGAAATCATCCATCTAAAGTTTAAGTTAAAGACTACTTAAACTAAACATGACAAGAAAGAATAAAGTAAATAAACTTGAAAAATTTAACAGATTATGCAAAGCCTAAAAGGGTGTGAACTTTTTTAACAATAAGACGATGATTTTAGTGATGTGGGGCTACTACATAGCAGTGTTCAAAAAAGCGCCCGTTTTATCGCTTTAAGCTAGAAACGAAGCGGAGCGACGGGTTGGGCGCTACCCAGATAAAAGCGACACAGGTAGAGAAAAACGACCGCTTCTGCCAAAAAAGCGAGAAGCCGTGAAGCGGTGAAGCGGCAGAAAGCGAAAGAAGCGAGGGCTTCTTGAAATAAAAGCCCAAACGAGTCTTTTTCAATTAAAAGACCCAAATCGAGTGAGTCTTCTGTTTTAGTCATTCTTCAGCAGCAAACTAGGGTTATAAACCAGCCTTTTCTTCCTCAAGAAACCAATGATTTCTTCCTCACAGGAAGCAGCGATTTGTTCATGCAAACTAGGGTTCTTCTTGTTCTTCTTCAACATTACAACAAGTCAACAACAACTTTCAAGTTTCAACAGATATGTTTTTATTTTCATACTTCTTCTTCTTCTTGTTTTTCTTTTTCTTTCTAAATGTCCAAAAGCGCCGAAAATGCTGGCTAAATTTTTTCAGAAAAATTCTGCCCCGTTTCTGCCCAATTTCTGCCCAATTATATATTTTTTATTCTTAGTTCTTATTGCCTTTCTTATGTGTTATGTAGTTGTTATTTTAATGGCGCCAAATGAATATAGGAAAGACCCGGCTTGGGTTTACTCTGAAAGAGTTAACGAGACCAACAAGATGGCCATTAGATGTCTTTTTTGTGATAAGATTACAAATGGAGGAATCTATCGTCAAAAAGCGCATCTAATCGGTGGTGATCCAAATGTCGCATCTTGTCTTAAAGTTCCGGGGCATGTGAAGGAAAAATTAAAACCATACCTTCAAAAAAAAGAGTTAAAGACTCAAATGATTCCTGAACAAGAACTTTATAATCTTGATGATGATGATGATGAAACAGAAGAAGGTGACGATGCTTTGTCGCTTCCACCAAAATCACAAAAGAGGGGAAGGATGCTTCCACTAATGTCTTCTAGTTGTCGATCTACTGGAAGGACCAAAGGTCCTAAGGATTGTTACTTCTCGTAAAAATCTAGAGATAAGGGAGGATAAAGTTGTAATCCTCAAGTTGATGCAAAAGCGATTTTGAGGGACCGTACAGTAACCTTTTTTGCTCGGTAGATGTATGATGCAGGTCTTCCTTTTAATTGTGTTAATTATACTGACACTTTTGCTGCTTTTATTGAGGCCGTAGGCCAATATGGCCCAGGAATGAAGCCTCCAACTTATTATGAAGTTAGTGAGCCATAACTACAAAAAGAGGTGGCATAGGTGAACAAAATCATGGAGGGGCATAAAGTAGAATGGAACACGTTTGGTGAGAAATGGAAAAATGATCGTCAATATCTTGGTGAATTCTCCTAAGGGAAGCTTGTTTCTTGAGTCCGTTTATGAAAGCGACTCTTCGACTGATTCAACCAAAATGTACTCCTTGTTCAAGAGTACAATAGACTCTATTGGAGCAGAAAATGTTGTTCAAATTGTCACTGACAACGCCAGTGAAAATGTTAAAGCTGGTGATTTGATGTCTGTTGTGTACCAGCATATCTATTGGACTCCGTGTGCAGCACATTCTGTTAATTTGATCTTTGGTGATATTTTCAAGGAAAGACCCTTCAGTACTGTCTTTAATCAGGCAATTAGAGTGCATTCCTATATTGTTCAAAGGCCTTTATTATTGAACATGATGAAGAGATTCACTAAACAAAGAAGCTTGGTGAAATCTGCAAAGACAAGATTTGCTACTGCTTTCTTGACTTTGGCTAGGATGTATGAGCATAAAAGTAATTTGAAGAAGTTGTTTGTTTCAGATGAGTACACTAGCAGTGCCTATGGAAGGGAAGCTCGAGGGAGAGAATCTACAGATATTATACTTTTCCTTCATTCTGGAACAATATGGTTCATGCATTGAAGATTGGTGGTCCTCTAGTTAAAGTGCTTCGTTTGGTGGATAGGGAGCAAAGGCCACCAATGGGCTACTTAAAAGAAGCAATTGATAGGGCAAAGGAGGCTATTCAAGACTCTTTTAGTGATCAAAGAAAATACAAAAGAGACTTTGAGATCATAGATAAAAGGTGGGATAGAAAGCTTCATAGCCCTTTGCATGCAGCTGGACTTGTTTTGAACCCAGAACTGTTTTATGCCAATGAAGAGAGGATTCTAGGAGATGAACCTTTAAGGAATGGATAATATGAATGCATTGAGAAGTTGATACCTGAAGAATCCGTGCAAGATAAAATCACAGAGCAATTTAGTATTTATAGGAATGTTGAACAACTTTTTGAAAAAAACATGGCCATTAGACAAAGAATGACAAAGTCACCAGGTGAGTGAGTGCTTATATGTTGTTTTATAGTTAATAAGTTATTTCTTTATTGATATTATGTTTTGCAAATTTGTTCTACTTCTACAGTTGAATGGTGGAAACAATATGGTCATTCCACTCCAGATTTACAAAAGTTTGCCATCAAGGTTTTAAGTCTAACATGTAGCTCATCCGGGTGTGAAAGGAATTGGAGCGTGTTTGAGCATGTAAGAACTAATAAGAAAGATTTAGTATATTGAGATAATTAAATTATATATCAATTGTCCTAATCTTACTAATTACTTATTATTTGCAGATTTATACCAAAAAGAGGAACAAAATAACCTTGAAGCGTCTCAATGATCTAGTCTCCATTAAGTACAATAGAACATTGAGGCGTCGTTACAACGCTCGCAATGTAATTGATCCAATTAGTTTGGACAACATCGATGAT